CAGCTTTAAACACTGGCAGATAAACACACACCTTTCAGAGAAATATTGAGGTAGGTGATTGTGCCCTTTTGCTCTGCCATAGTGAGTGCTCATGCACTTGTGAAGAAGTGGATTTGCTATATCCTTATGGGTCTCATAAACACAAGCCCAACTGGCTTTCAGAGCTGGATGTTTAGGGGACCCATCCCTCAGGTAAGAGTCTTAAAAGCTGGGATGCAGATGTGGATTGCAAACCCTTTGCTCCTCAGGAAGAAGTTGGGAGTTGGGGATTCCCTCCTGATTATATGGTGCTGTGTCAGGGATGGGATTTATGTCAAGTGTGTCTCAGCCTTTGCTACCCATTTTGATGGGGGTATTCTCTCATTTCCCCAATGCACAGGAGTTGCTCAGCTAGTTTCTGGACCTCTTTCAGAGGGAACTGCTCTATATGCAGCTGTGCATTCAATGTGTCTGTGAGGGGAGGAGAGCTCAGGAGCTTCCTATGTTACCACCTTAGTCCTGCCTCTCTCATTCCCAATTATTTTAGCTATTTCTTCTGTTAATTAAATCCATATGTCTAGACTGACTATTTCTCCAAACGGTCAAGTGCTCAAGTCATCTATTTGTTACCTGTGTTTGTTTATGGCAACATCTCCTGGAAGCCCTCACCATCATCTTTTGCCTCTCTCCTCTGTTGAATCCCCCTAATTCCTATATCCCATGTCTTCCTTGTTTACTCGCTTTCTGGAATTTCTTGAGAAACACATCTTGAAGAAAGGTTATGGAAGATAATATTTTTGAGTTCTTACGTGTCTGAAAATATCTATGTTTTATTCTGATACTGTTGTTTAGCCAAACATAGATTGTAGGATAAAATGAACGCTTGAAAGCATTGTTCCATTATTTTCTAACTTCTAGAGCTGCTGAGATGTCACGTCATTCTGGTTCTGCATCCTTTGAATAGGACCTATTTTCTTCTCAGAAACGTTTAAGATCTTGTCTTTATCCCAGTACCCTGAAATTTTGCAATTTGTTTGCTTTAGTCTTTTTTCACCTTGCTGGGCAAATATTAGGCCTTTTAAATCTAGAAACCCATGTTTTTCAATTCTGGGAAATCACTTAAAAACTTTCTAAGATAATCTTCTACCCTCCTTTTCCACTCCTCTCTCTTCTAGAACCTACTAGTTTTATATTCCCTGAAAAAATCTGCTCATTTCCATATTTTCTCTCATTTTTCAACTTTTTTTCTAGTATTTGTAAAATTTCCTTAACTTTATTTTCCAAACATTTTATTTGAAGTTTTATTTATTCTGCACTTTTTATTTTAAATAACTTTCTTCTCCTCTATGGGATTTTTGCACAGCTAAAATCCTATGCTTATTCCCTATGTATAATCAATATTTTCTCTGAGACATTACTCTCTTCTACCTACAGTGTCGTAAATCTTGTGATAAAATGTGCTTCTTGGGAAAGATTTTGCCTTTTAAAATATATTCTGTTATATATTTTCTGTTTAATCAGCCAAAAATATGTGCCTTTTAGTTCTCATGCAGTTAATTAATTTAAAATGATTTCTTCAAAACTTGTCAAGTATCATAAAACACTGGGGAAAAAACCAAAAAACAATCCCCCAAAGTAGCTTATCAATATTTGTGGCCATTCTACAAATATAGCTGAAGTGTAAATAACTGTGAAATAAAAAGACATGGAAATAATTTCAGCAATCAGACTTGGCCAAAGCACAGAGCTTTTTGGCAATGGCCTGGAGTGTGGAATGCATTGCCTGCTTGAATCCAAGTCCAGGTGCCTGTGATTTCTTTTTCCACTTTCAGTTCACCATTTTTTTTTTTAATAAGTTCATCAGGCCTCTGAGCTAGAATTTAATCTGTGGAAAATATTCTATGCCAGAGCACCCCATGTATGTGCAATTTATTTAAATGAGTGAGATGGGTGGCTTTATATCAGCAGTCTTACTGCAAAGGATAATGGCACTTTCTACCAGTTGATTAGTTTACAAAATGCTTTCATGTGCAGTTTTTCACTCTAAAAACCCTGAATGTTTTAATTCTATGACATAAATCACAGCAAGGTCCTTTTTGACCTACCTCCTAGAGAAATGGAAACAAAAACAAAAATACACAAATGGGACCCAGTGAAACTTAAAAGCTTTTGCACAGCAAAGGAAACCATAAACAAGACCAAAAGACAACCCTCAGAATGGGAGAAAATATTTGCAAACGAAGCAACTGACAAAGGATTAATCTCTAAAATTTACAAGCAGCTCATGCAGCTCAATATCAAAAAAAAAACCCAATCCAAAAATGGGCAGAAGACCTAAATAGACATTTCTCCAAAGAAGATATACAGACTGCCAATAAACATGAAAGGATGCTCAACATCACTAGGGAAATGCAAATCAAAACCACAATGAGGTATCACCACACACTGGTCAGAATGGCCATCATCAAAAAACCTACAAACAGGGCTTCCCTGATGGCGCAGTGGTTGAGAATCTGCCTGCCAATGCAGGGGAGACGGGTTCAAGCCCTGGTCTGGGAAGATCCCACATGCCGCAGAGCAACTAGGCCCATGAGCCACAACTACTGAGCCTGCGCGTCTGGAGCCTGTGCTCTGCAACAAGAGAGGCCACGACAGTGAGAGGCCCGCGCACCGCGATGAAGAGTGGCCCCCGCTTGCCGCAACTAGAGAAAGCCCTCGCACAGAAACGAAGACCCAACACAGCCAAAAATAAATTAATTAAAAAAAAATCTATGAGCAATAAATGCTGGAGAGGGTATGGAGAAAAAGAAACCCTCTTGCACTGTTGGTGGGAATGTAAAGTGATACCGCCACTATGGAGAACAGTATGGAGGTTCCTTAAAAAACTAAAAATAGAACTACCATACAACCCAACAGTCCCACTAATGGGCATATACCCTGAGAAAACCATAATTCAAAAAGTCATGTACCACAATATTCACTGCAGCACTATTTACAATAGCCAGGACATGGAAGCAACCTAAGTGTCCATCGACATATGAATGGATAAAGAAGATGTGGCACATATATACAATGGAATATTACTGAGCCCTAAAAAGAAACGAAATTGAGTTATTTGTAGTGAGGTGGATGGGCCTAGTCTGTCATACAGAGTGAAGTAACTCAGAAAAAGAAGAACAAATACCATATGCTGACACATATATATGGAATCTAAAAAAAAAAAAAAGGTTCTGAAGAACTTAGGGGCAGGACAGGAATAAAGACGCAGACCTAGCCTGTCATACAGAGTGAAGTAACTCAAACAGAAAAACAAATACCATATGCTAACACATATATATGGAATCTAAAACAAAAAGGTTCTGAAGAACTTAGGGGCAGGACAGGAATAAAGATGCAGAGGAGATATGGGGACCTATGTATACGTATAGCTGATTCACTTTGTTATAAAGCAGAAACTAACACAACATTGTACTCCAATAAAGATGTTAAAAAGTTTTTAAAATAAATAAATGAAAACCCTGCATGTTTTAATCCGCATATCACAAAGTTTGGAAAAGCAAAGACAATAAGTACAATGGTTAAAAGCGTCATTGCTCTTAACTGAAAAATAGGAAAATAATTATCTCTTGGGGTTTGTGTGTATTACTTTTCCTATGTAGTATCTGGTACATAGTAGGAACTCAAAAAATGTTCACATTGTAATGCTAGAATCTGTCTTCCTTATAGATTCCAGCAGTACCTCAATGGTCAAAAATCTGACTCCTTGAGCCCCAGAAAGTTCTGTTATTGCTCACTTGGTATCCTCTGTACCAAATTAAGAGCTGTCACCCTTCTGTTTTTCACTTTTTTCTAAAGTATTTTTTGTGTTTTGCACTCTTAGTCAATTACAAACTTTTTAAAAACAGGAATTATCTCCCAAAAGTCTTTCACAATTTTGAAACTCAATCAATTCTACAGCTGACTCAAGCTGGTTTTACATTCAAAATTACTTTCCTGCTAAGTCTGCTACTGAAAGGAACTCTTCGTTTCAGACAAACAGCAAATAGCTTTACTGTTTGAACTTAAAAGGGTTTGCACTGCTTGAGTATTCTATGGATGAAATTTGTCAAATATTGCATAGTAATTTAGTGCATAATTCTTAAGGACAGAATCAAACATAACTGCAAGGGATATGGGCTTATTTTGTCTTTTGTTTTTTTAACATAAAGGGTTAAGGGCCTGGCCCATATAAATCTAGTTTATAGAAGGACACTACCATGCCCCTACTCAGAATATATCGTGGCTTCCTATGATCCACAGAAGACCCAAGTTCCAGGAGGTATAACCAGGAACTTCTTGCAACAAAATATTTTCATGTACATCTGCTCCCATAGCTTATCTAGTAGTTCTCAAATGTCAGTGGGCACAGGATTCACCTCAGGAACTTATTATAAATACCTCTCTGGAACCCCTCAAAAAGGGATTCAGTAGCTAGAATGGAACAAGAAGTCTGCACTTTAAACCAACTTTCCCCAGTGTAGCTCTATCATGTGATTCTGACATGGGTAGCTCAAACCCCACAATGAAGAACACTGCCTAAGTCTATGGCTATACCCAGGGTTGGGATAATAAGGAATAAAAAGGAATTTATTCTGCGCTCCCAGGAAGTAGCTAAACATTTGAAGGAAACTGAGGCTCTTGTTACTGGAATTAGCCTGGGTCCACCACATACCTCTTTTCCTGTATGTCCATTAGCAACCTGCCCAGCTATTTCTATTAATTTGGAGTTTTTAAAAGACAACAATCTTTTTTATTAACTTAACCCTTTTCTTCTAGAAAACAATTAGACAAGCTGTTTGAACAGTAGAATTAAAGGAATTTTTCTTTCCTGAAGCTTCTTCTAGAACATATGTCCATTCACTGTCATGATGATTTCAAAACAGAATCAGGAAGGATGTCGGTATGACAAGAAAATTGTTTGTTTCCTACCACTTAAGAACATTATTTCTGTTTTCTGTTTGTTTCTTTTCCCCCCTACACAGCTATGAGTTCCAGGTGAAACCCAAAAACCCACTTGGTGAAGGCCCACCCAGCAACACGGTGGCATTCAGTACTGAATCAGGTAATCACATCAGCAGTAATTCCTAACAAGGATATAAAGGGTCACCATGTTTTGCATAGCTTGTTTGAAACCTAGCTAAACACTGGGTAAAGCATTTGATTTAAAAAAAAAATCCATTTGAAAAAGCAAACTGATGAAGGTACCCTTAAGGAAACACCCCTTGGGTTTTTCCTCATTTATCTTGATGTCAGAAAAACATTAGGCATATCAGTTTAAAAGAAAAAAAGCATATAGTCAGTCTATACTCAATAGTGCATGAATGCTCCTCTCCATGCCTAGAATCTGTGCCTATAATCAAAATATCAGACGCTCAGCCACAGTATCCAGAAAGGGAATTCATGTGAGTTTTTTATGATGAACAGCCGTGAAATTTTCTAATTTGGCCTAAGTTTCAATTCCTTAATGAGATACATCTGTACTCACAGCATTAGTGTATAATTTTTTACACCAAATGCAGTTCATGGCATCTTGGTGATTTTATCATCAATAGTTTTTTTTATGAAACTAAAAGAGGAAGATTTTAAAATGGAAGTAAAATCTAGAACAGCAATGAAGACTAGTAACTACACAAATCACATATAAAAGATACAGCTGAGTACGTGGCGGAGGAGATTCTCCACTGCAGAACAATTCCCAAAACAAAATATACAATTTTCAAATTTGGACTGTAGTAAGAGTGTACCGTTTTGCAAGATTCCTTAACTGTAAGCACCCATCTTCTTCACTATGTCACTGGAACACTGGGACTTACCTAATAACCTCTGACTCTGTCTTTGCTGTTTCTCCTTAGCTGACCCAAGAGTGAGTGAGCCAGTTTCTGGTAAGTACCTACCTGGATGAGAACACAACTACACGCTTTCCTACAGTGATTCAACTAAACGGGCATGGTAGAATTTTAGTCATGATTTCACTTTAGTCCATTTAGTCTTCTTAGAATATCAATCAGGTATGAATGCTTACCTAAAACATTCAGTAACATTGACAGCCTATGTTGTTTCAGGAACAAGTTGAATATTTTAAAACTTGCTTTCCATTCTTGTAACAGACTAGCTCAACTTTTCTGTTTAATAATTAAGTCAAGATACAGGACCCTCACTTCCACTTTTAATAACAAGTCACATTAAAGCAACTGTTTAAATTGTATAATATGCTGCAAAAAAAGAAACCTAAATTTGCTCCTAAAGGGATGCTGTTCTACATTGAGCACTGCAGAGGCTAGTCAACTCTGACACATACTGCTCCAAGATTTACCTCATCATTGATGGAAATTTAATTGGGGGTTTACTCCTATATTTTTGGCTCCAATATTTAGCACTGGAGAAAACCAGCTATCAGCAGGTTGACAATGAACTTGGCAAACTGCTTTTTTAAAAGCTTTTAAGACAGCTCTTCAGGACCGAAAGTCAAATACTAAACTCAAACCATGTGCTTTCCTTATGCAGCAGGAAGAGATGCCATCTGGACTGAAAGACCCTTTAATTCAGACTCTTACTCAGAATGTAAGGGCAAACAGTATGTCAAAAGGACGTGGTATAAAAAGTTTGTAGGGGTGCAGCTGTGCAACTCTCTCAGATACAAGATTTATCTGAGTGACTCCCTCACAGGTAAGCACGGCCATCAGTTCTGTTTTGAGGATTATCCTTCAGGAAATGCTTTGCAGCATTCTGTAACTTAGCCTTTTCTATGGACAGTCCCAGACACGAAGGTGTGATGTAAATACAAGTTTCCTTTTTGAGCAAGATGTTATTGGAATCTTAGGATTTGAGACATGCTGTAAGAAGGTAAATAATGAAAATGCAATCTGAAACGGTGCCATCGTGGCAAACCTGAATGTAGAAAAACTAGTCACATCCAAGCTCAATTTTGTTACAGCCAGCCCAGGATAAAAAGCCTACTGGTAGTAAAAAGAGTGTATCTAACAATAATCATGGAAGGAGTATGACGTATTTAAGATTTTAAGTCTGTCAGAGACAAGAGCAAGATTAAAACACTGAGCCAGAAGGGCTATAACCCCTTGCTCCAGACTCAGTGGGTTCATATTCATACAGTAAAAATTTTAAATAAGATTGGCCCAACATAGAAAGGTAGACATTTGCTCAATCATTCAACAGAACTATCTGCTTTGTTCAGACATTGTTCCAGGTGCTGGGGACAAAGCAGGAAATAAGACACGTTCCTGCTCTTTGTAGCTTACAATCTAGCGGGGAGAGACAGAAAGCGAACATGTAAATAAGAATTTCATATAGTGCTCTGAAGGAAAAAAAAAGGGTGAAAGAAAATGGCTGAATGGAATGAAAATGGAGGAAAAAAATGGCTGAATGAAAACTCTTTTAGTTAGAATGGTTAGGAAAAGCACCCCCCTCAAAAGGTAGCACTTGTGCCGAGAAGAAAACTATAAGAAGGAACCAACCACGCAAAGATCGAGGGATAAAGAACCAGAGGTAGAGGGAAGAGAAGCACAAAGACCTGCAGCAGAAAATGCCTCGCCGGTTCCACTAGTGTGGCTGAGGCTTAGTAAGGGGGAGATCAGGCAGCATGAAATCGTGCGGAGCTAGGAAACCAGGTAAGGACTCCCGGGTTTTATTCTGAGTATAACAGAAGACTGCTGGAGAGATTGATGGAGGGGCGTAACACTATCTGAGTTGCGTTTTTAAAAGATGACTAGACTAATCTGTGAAAGGAGGAGGGGAGGAAAAATAGGGAAAAGCAAGAGTGAAAGCAGGGACGCCAGCTGGGAGACGATTCCATAGTTCAATCAAGGAACACTGGTGGCTCGAACTGGAAAGGAAGGGGGGAGAAGTACAAGAACAAGGAAGACAGATTATTTGAAACAATTTGATTATTTCAGAGTCCTCCCATATCAAAGGCAGCAATACTTCATGATCCTTTTAATTTGTTTTTTCAGGAAAATTTTATAACATAGGTGATCAGAGAGGCCATGGAGAAGATCACTGCCAGTTCGTAGACTCATTTTTAGATGGACGCACAGGACAGCAATTCTCTTCTGACCAGTTACCCACCAAAGAAGGTATGTTTTCTGAGCCTCCTCGTAAGTAAGAGGCTTTTACAAATTAACCCAAAAAACATTCAAGCTGAGAAAATCAATCACTTTAAAAATAATTCTGTAGTACTACTACTCCATCTGCCTAGGAAAAAGGACTTCCCACATAAGACCTTAACAGGAAGACTTTAATAGAAGTTTCTTCACTTTCCTCCCATTCCTTAAGACTCTTTTCCTTAGAGCTGAGGGGAATTACAGAACATCTTATGTAAATCCATTCTACTTTAAGAAAACCTGAATTTTCAAAAGCAGCTATAAAAGAGCAGCTTAAAAACAGCTATAAAAAAGAAGCTTAATTTCCCCAGCTTAAATCATTCATGCACTACTTTTACGGTTTTTGTCATACCGAGCACACAGGCATTTTTTTTTTATTCCTTTTTAAAAAATTTTAAAGAAATTCAAAGCTTTACTACTACTGTAGAAGGAAAAAAGAATGTTACTTGCCTTATAAATAATTCTATAAATACAATTAAAATAGAAGAATTCTGCTGAGAAATGACTAACCACTGTAACTTGCTACGGACACATTAGCACCAAGCTGTTTAGTAAGAATTGAAAAGACTGAAAATTAATTTAATCCCTGTCCAGGTAGGGTAAGAAAGGGTAAATTACACATCCATGTTACTCAGGAGTTACCAAGAGGGGCTTGTTAAATACTTAAAATTATTTGACTAGTCTTTTCAGCATCACATTTTGGTCACTGGCACTAAAAATACCAACCACACTAAAAGGTGACTTAATAAGATCTGTGAACTCATTATCAGAAAATTGAAACTGCTGCCTCACAGGAACCGGATATACAATGTACTGTAAATTGTGTCTATTTCTGTAACATTTTACATTCACAGCAAAATCTTTAATCACTTAGTGTAGGGTCCTTGAAGGAAGATTTCATCAAACTTTAGTTCTGAGAAATCTAGCAATCTTAGACCAACCCTTCTTTTGTTTCCTAACATTTTAGTACAACACTCCTTTAACCAGGTAACTTCATAGACCATCACTAGGCTGTAAAGTACAGAAAGTACACTTTTACGTAGGTCAAAGTGTGTACTGAACTTGGTCAGTTATACTCAAACAAAACATGAAACCCCTCCAACTCCTGCCCCCTTTCAGCTTTCTCTCTCAAATACTACCAACCATCCCATCCTAGATTAAGGCAGATGTCAAGGAGTTTCAAGTGTCCCTGATGTTCAGCTAGCCATTACCACCTCAGGAAAGACACCAGGGCCTCTCTTACTATCCTTTTTCTAAAATACTCTGCTTCACCTAGAGTAAGCTTCAGGCATTCAACGACACCCTTCAACCTATGAGCACTGAGGACAAAAATATATCATAGCAGCTATTAAAATTAATTATTTTCTCTCAGGCTATTTCAGAGCAGTTCGCCAGGAACCCGTCCAATTTGGAGAAATTGGTGGTCACACCCAAATCAATTATGTCCAGTGGTATGAATGTGGGACCACAATTCCTGGAAAATGGTAGATGCTGCAATCACGTTCAGAAGTGCCTTCTGTTTCATCATGGCAAAAAATAATTGGAAACAGTATGGTGTTTGTCACATGCATTTAAAGCTCTTATGTTTACTATGTATAAAAGTTTAAAATCTAATTAATAGCAATATTAGATGTTTACTAGGAAGATTGCTAAGAATATTTATCAGGTTTTACAAAGTCATTTAAAGAAAGCAAAATATTGACATTAACAGAATAACATTTTTGGGGAAGCTGGCTCCCTATTCATGGTATTTTAAGAGATCATTTGTATATTATTTATCACACTGTTGTAATGATGTTTTGAGATACTTTTATAACAAAATTAACATCAAAAAACTAATATACTTTTTAAAAAATACTTACTATTATTCTGTATTCTTCCTACTGGTGAGTTAATTCCATAAACCTCTACTTGGTTTAACTTATTAGATCAAATTATCTTCAGCATATATATCTGGGGGAAAAAGGTGCTAATATTCACATGTTTATTTAAACTTCAACTTTTTAGCAACAGCTGAATATCTTTTCTGAAGCGTTTAAATAGTTAACCATTCATGACAGTATACATTTCCTCAAATATCTGCGAACTATTGAAAAGATTTTGTTTGAATCAGTAAATTTCATTTCAGTTATAAATAGAATTGAGAATTATATATAGCGTTTCAAAATACATATTTTTTTCTTTCTCTACCCATAAACATGTTACAATGTCTGAATGTTATTTGTCAAACTATCCCTTTAAGCAGTTGTGTTCCTACTGTTTTTAATATAATTCTAATCAAGCTGTATACAGAGACTGACTGTAAAGTCTAAGCACAAAAGGATAATGCATGATGAGATCCCTGCCATTTTATAGGATATTTACTATATTTTTACACAGAAGATCTCTAGGGAATGAATGTATCAGAGGCTGTTTTCGTAATTCTGTCTAACCCAACCTGTAATGAAAATCTGACTCGTTTTTATGTAAAAAAAAAAAAAAAAAAGTATTTTTCTCCTTCATTTGGGGAGGGAGATGGGAATGCTGCATTGTTGCCCTCATCCTTAAAGGACCTTTCTGTGCTTACCACCTTTCACCATGCTTCAGTTTTATCAATACTTCATTTTATATTTTTCAAACAAGTATAAACTCTGCAATAAAGAGATGTAGTTTTTTTAAGACCGAGTTCTTCATTTCTGAATGGTTCATTTCTATAAGGAAAATCACAAGTTATTTAGGATCTACCAAACCCCCCCTTGTATCTTTTAATAAATACTGAATCTATTGTGTTTATTTATATATAATAATATTATATAATAATATTATATAATCTATCATCTTCCTGTGAAATCTATTTCCAAAGAAAGCATAAAAAATAAAAGGTCTATACTTCATTTTAAGACCAAAACATCAATAAGGATTTGTGTTTTTTCTCATATATATATATATATATATACACACACACACACATATAGTGTCAATGACTAAATTAAATTACAAGACCACTAATGGATTCAATCATCTTTCTTTATTAACCTATCAACGTTTGTTACATTTATACATAATATCTAGTCTTCGCAAAGGGATCTACTTTAGTACATCATGTTAATAGTAAAAAGCCAAGTAAGATGGCTGAACTTCAACCTAGCATTTTAATATCCTCTGGACAAGGCAAGCTAGAAAGTCAATCACTTTGCACACATGTAAGAGTAGTGTTCCAAAATAACTAGGGAGCTGCTACAATTTTAAGCAGGGGAGGAAAAAAACTTTCATTTTGGTCTTTTTTCTTCCAGCAAATTAACTTTCAATTAACAGCAACAATGATATCATAAAAAAATGCTCTGCTTTTTAAACTTGTGAACGTCAATACAAATTAAAAGAGAGTATTGGAGTCTTTTGGGAGGCAAACAGCTAGCAGCTACATTCATCAGTGTAACTGAGCCTCCTTATCGATAACCTGGTCCAGGTTGGGTATAGCCCTGACCAAAGGGAGGACGGCTACGTGCATAAGGGTTAGACCCACTTGGAAGAGGGGTCATGGTACTCCCAGGAGGTGGAGTGAAACCTGGTCTTGGTTGATAGGCCCCGGGTTGGCTTGGAGCCATTCCAGGTTGTGAGGCAGGGGCCACAGTGTAATTAGTGGGCTGAGAAGTTTGGGTAGTGTAGGTCTGTGGAGGGTAACTGCTCGCCTGGTACTGCTGTGGCGGCTGAGCAGCAAGTTGCTGAGGCTGACCAGAGAAGGCAGGAGCCGGTGCCTGGGAAGCTGGCTGCTGGCCATATCCCTGGAACTGCTGAGGTTGCTGGGGTCCAGTCTGCTGACTGTAGCCTGCTGAAAAGGCAAAACGTACATATCTTATTTTTCCTTTTGGTGACCAATTTCCAGAGAATTAGTCTTACTGTTATGGACAAAAAAAATGAGAAATTTAACAAACTTAATCCTAAGTATTTATGCACCAAGTAGAGTAGCAGAGTCTATATTTCAAGACCACATAGTATCCAAGAAGCACTTTCTAGACAATTTTGTAAACCCTCTAAAATTAAAACCACTATGTATACTTCTTCTACTTCAACTCCTCCTACACTGTATAATCCCTGAGAGCAAATTCCTGTTCTAGCATAACTCCCAGTATAGAGTAGATGTTCAAATGATAAATGCAGGAATTAATGCAAAAGCTAGTCATTAACCTGGTTCTGAGGGGCCTGTTTAATAACAGTACCAAATAAAAACACATTTTATTTGTAGAGAATGAATATTTTTAAATGAAACAATGGTGCTACAAATACATCTTATTGTGCTAATGAGATGCTTTAAGGTTTATTCACTCTATAAAAACTAAGCCATTTAAGAATAAACATTAAGTGCCAATTTTCACAATCCTTAAAATCTTTCTTTTAGATTTGGTATCTGATGTAAAGGTTTTTGCCTTTACAATTCAAAATTCTGGCTTAGCAGTAACAATGTAACACACAGAAAGCATATCATATTGCCCCACAAAAATCAACATCTATATTCATTAGTTACTAGGATGTAAAGTCTTTTAAAATAAAAGGTCTGCTTCACTAAAAACTTTTATCTCTACCATGAAACACACCTGCAGCTACTTGCAATGAAACCTCTCCATTGACTGGAATCCTGTCAGCATTAAATACCAGATACATAAGAAAATTATTAAAATATGTACAACCCTGCATTTAAAAAAATAAAAATAAAAAGGATTGAATGAATTTGAGTATATTCTGAACTCACCTTGAACCTGGGTTCAAAATTTACTCATGAAAGAAACCTTTCTGACACAGTCCATGAATAAAACTGGAAAAGGTCACAGAGGGAAACTGCCAAAGTGTCAAGAGTGTCAAAGATGGTCCAATGTTACCACCACCACTTAGTCTCCAAGCAGAGTATTTACTTGACTATTTCCATATCTCCCAAATTCAAGTTAATAGGACTAGCAGGATCAGAAATACAGAGATAATAATTTGAAAAGAACTAAACTTTACTCAGTGAAGACCCTGACTAAAATCATTAAGAGCAAGCTTAATTTTTAATAAGTAAATCAAATATCTAATGCATTTTACTCATGGCAGTATCTAAATACTGAACTAAAGTCAATTCATGATGAAATCTTGATGTCATACAATTTCTCCTATCCTCTACATAAAATTTTTTTACTGTAAGTTTTTGGAGAAACAGAAGGACTCAGCTTTTATACTGAAAATATCTATTCAACTTAAGATTGTGAGCAAAAAAAAAAAAGCTGTCTTCTCATCCTGGCAGGTGAAATCTAAACTGGCTTAACAGCATCTGGGGACAACCATATCTATTTTTCAAGAGAGGGAATAACCCCTAAGGGCCTAAGATGCTGTTTCATTAGCAACCTACTAGTCTTTGACCATAATATAGCAATACCTCTATATGTATATACTCTCCTCCTCCCACCACCATCCCCCCTCCCTTGAAAAACAAAATAAATGAGTAACTTTGGTGCAAATTGCCAGAAATGGCAAGAAATGGAAATTCTGTGGTTCTTTGAATAAATGAATTTTAAAGAACAAGGAGTCATATGGTCCACAAAGCCTAAAATATTTACTATCTAGCTTTTTATGGCAGAAAAGTCTGCCAACCCCTGGTCATGGTTGGAGAATGTAGAATGATATAGGGAAGTCATTAACTACAAAGTCAAGGATACTGGGTTCTGGTCTGGTTCCCCCACTAAATGGCTGCATGTCCTTTGATGCATCACAACTCTCTGAACCCTAGTTGTCTCATTTATAAAATGAGTGGGTGGGACAAGATCAGAGGTCCCCAACCCTGGTTGCACTTTAGAATGACGTGCAAAGCATTTAAAATAAAAAAGCCTGAGTCCCATGCTCGACCAAATAAAACAAGATCGCTGGGAGTAGAGCCCAGGCACCTGTAACTTTCAAAAAACACCTCTCCAGGTGATTCTGAAGTATGGTGAAGACTGAAATCCCCTGGATTAGATAACTAGGTCTTTCCCACTCTAATATCTATTATTTCTACAAATTATATAATTTGTAACACAGATTTGCTTTAAAGGACTGCATCCTAAAAATAACCTTCCCCCAATATTATAGTCCAAGTTCAAATTCATTCCACCTATTTTATATAATTAAAAACTAGCCGTTACAGGTTAAATCACTCCACAGCAAATCCAATCCAAATAAAAATTGTTCTTTGTGTTAAAATATGTCAGACTCCAATGGTAGAATTTTATGGTCTAATTCAGGGGGTCAGCAAACGTTTTTCTGTAAAGGACCAGATAGTAACTATTCTAGGCTTTGGGGGCCACATGGTTTCTGAAACTTATAACTGCAGGGATGGTGTTTTCACCATAAGTTCCAAGCAGATTTAAGGGAAAAAAAAGAGCACACACCTACTTTAAGAATTGTTGTACCCTGTCATTTTTACTGAGGAAAATGATTAGGCTTTTTTGAGTGGGAGATCCTTAGGCTCACTGGCAGCAGTCTACTATATGGAGCTTTAATCTCAGACTTTTCGATGATACCTAAGTTAATGTTTATATTAAATGAGATAATGTGTACACAAGGGATTGCTAATGAGGTTGACTGTTTTCCCCCATGTTTATTGCATGTTCTTTGCTCATTTTTGTAGAGTTAATCTTACTACTTTTCTAAAACTACAGTTGAAATTTTGATATTTAAATCTTTGACTGTAAAACAAGAGTTGAACACAAAATTCTCAGATATAACAAATGTAAAAACTACCTGAATTATAACCACAGTATTCAAAGCTACACTGAGAGATTTTTATGTTCTTAGTTGCCTGAATTACGTTTTACACAATTCTACTTTTATGGCCTGTTTTTGGTATTCCTACATACTTTTGGGAGATTTAAAAACCTGTGTAGCTTAATTTGGTTCTTATTTAATAAGACCACCTCTTTCCATGTTCCATGGAAAGTTCCATGAGGGAACTGTTAATGCTTTTACAGGTACTAAGAGTACACTGGGATAATGTGTTACATATAATGGAGGAAAAAATGTTGCATTTTTGTAGCTCTACATCACCCAGCAGGTAAGTCATCACATCAGTAGGAGGTAACTTCGTATTAAAAACTTTTTTATACTACAGGTTACTACTGAATCATCTACTATGATTTTAAGTTTTACCTGCCCACTGGAAAACTGAAATGGTGATTTACAGTAAAAATTTTTATGCAAAATATTTAAAAATAAATAAAACAAGTGTTATTCCCCCCCCCCAAGTAAATACTTAATACCTACTATAACAAATCAAGGAATTAGGGGGAAAGAATTAAAGTTTCTTGAGTACAGAGACAGCTCCCTCTGGACACCCGCTCACCTGCATACTGAATACCGTACTGCTGCGTCGGCTGGGGGGGCACCTGTGGCTGAGTGCCATAGCCAGCCTGCTGCGGGTACTGCTGGTACATCTGACCTAAAAGAGACAAGACAAGGCAAAGAGGCAGGTTTAACGCAGCAGAAGAGAAACGCTTTCAAAGCACATTTAATTCTCCCCCCATTCACACACATAAACACACTGAGAAGCAAGACACAAGAATGTGTTTGTTCCCCTCTGTCTATGAAGAAGAGAAGAATGAACAATTTAACAAGTGTGGCCACTCTGCTGTGGAATAACTACAGAGAACTTTAATCGGCAGCAAATAACATGAGTG